CATTGCTATTGAGTTAGTTGATTAGAAGCACATAAAAATAAGACTTCACCTAATCCATAAAGAAAGTCATGCTTCGCCAATACTGTGAAAAAAAATATATATAAATAAATCCACAAAAAAGAAAAAAAGCCCAGAGAAGCTAAAGGCCAAAGAAAAGGGCAAATTACCCGGTAGGAAACCCACTAAGGGGGCTACACAAAAGATGGGGTCGACCCGGTAGGATACCCAAACATCAATAAAGGGTAGCCTAGGTGTCGCCGCCTCCCAAAAAAAGGGGGGAACGGTCGGAGCGACGCAATGGTTATTTCGACTCTTTTTGATTTTCGCGTTTTTTATTGGTGGTTACAACGTCCTTAGGTTGTCCGATAACCGGGCTAACCTGGAGACGAGGTTTTCAAAAAGTATCCTTGAGTTGTCCGATAACCGGGCTAACCCAAGGACTTATTTACTTTGTAGGAGCCGAGACCGCCGTCTGGAAAATCGAGACGGTGGTCTCGTCCTGGCGTTGAGACGAGACGGCGGTCTGGTCCTTTCAGATGGCGGTCTCGTCCCTTCAGGGCGAGAAACTTTATTTTCGGGCCAAAAAACCTTCCTATCTTGGTACGGGAGCCTAATAGTCTCTCCTAGTGGCTTGTTAGGCTTCGGCCGTCTTCGAATAGGAAGCTTTCTGACTTTATTTGGAGGCCGGGTAAGATTTGGGGTCTACATTTTAAACAATGGAAAGGAAAGTCTTGGAAAGTTTAATTCCAAATCAGATGAAGGTATCTTCTTGGGATATTCATTGAATAGCCATGCCTATAGAATCTTTAACAAAAGGCTAAATACTGTAGAAGAATTTGTCCATGTTGTATTTGATGAGACTAACCCAAGTGTGCAGAATATTTCTGAGTATAGTACAGAAGATGATGTTTTAACTGATAAAATGTATCAGTTAAAACTGCCAGAATCAAAAGCTTCTCAAAAATAGGTTGAAGAAATTGAAGAAACTGAAGAACAACTGCCTAAAGAATGGAAAACTCCAAGAAATCTTTCAATAGACAACATTATTGGTGAAATAAATCAAGGAGTTTCCACTAGAAGATCTTTAAATAAATTTTGCAATCACATGGCATTTGTATCTCAAATTGAACCTAAAACCATATCTGATGCATTAAAGGATAATAATTGGATTAATGCTATGCATGATGAATTAAATCAATTTACTAGAAATGAAGTATGGGAATTAATTCCAAAACCAGATAATGCAAATATTGTAGGAACAAAATGGGTTTTTAGGAATAAAATGGATGAAAATGGTATAATTACAAGAAACAAGGCTAGATTAGTTGCTAAGGGGTATAATCAGCAAGAAGGAATTGATTTTGATGAAACCTATGCTCCTGTTGCTAAATTAGAGGTTGTTAGACTTTTACTTGCTTATGCTTCAATGAAAAGTTTCAGGTTATTTCAAATGGATGTCAAAAGTGCTTTCTTAAATGGCTACTTGAATGAAGAAGTTTTTCTTACACAACCACCTAGTTTTGAAGATCATATTCATCTAGAATATGTTTATAGATTAAAGAAAGCTTTGTATGGTCTCAAACAAGCCCCAAGACAATGGTATGAAAAAATTGAATAATGAGGTAATTCTAGTTCAAGTATATGTTGATGACATCATATTTGGAGCCACTAATGTTTCTTTATGTAAAGATTTTATCAAAGATATGCAGGGAGAATTTGAGATGTCTATGATGGGAGAACTTAACTACTTTCTTGGATTACAAGTTAAACAACTTCAAGAAGGAAGTTTTCTTCATCAATCTAAATACTGCACAGAACTTTTAAAGAAATTTGAGATGGAACATTGCAAAGAAGCATCAACACCAATGTCCACAAATTGCTATCTTGATTCTGATGAAAAAGGAAAACCTGTTGATGAAACCAAATATAGAGGGCTTATTGGTTCTTTGCTATATCTAACAGCAAGTAGACCTGACATTATGTTCAGTGTTTGTATGTGTGTCGGGTTTCAATCTGCACCAAAAGAATCACATCTTACTCGCTGCAAAAGAATCCTCAAATATCTCAAAGGAACTTTAAATGTTGGGTTATGGTATCCTGGTGAGTCCAAACTAAATTTAATTGGATACTCTGACTCAGATTTTGCAGGTTGTAAGCTTGACAGGAAAAGTACCAGTGGCAACTGTCATCTTCTTGGAAGCAGTCTAATTTCATGGCACAGTAAAAACACAATCATGTGTTGCCCTTTCTACAGCTGAAGCGGAGTACATTGCAGCTGGAAGTTGTTGTGCTCAATCTCTTTGGATCAAACAACAGCTTGAGGATTATGGTTTAATTCTCAGAAAGATTCCTCTCTTATGTGATAATACTAGTGCCATTATGTTAACTAAAAACCCAATTCAACATTCTAGGACAAAACATATAGAAATTAGACATCATTTCATTAGAGATCATGTTTTGAAAGGTGATTGTGAAATTTTCTTCATAGAAACTGAAAAACAACTAGCAGATATTTTTACAAAACCTCTTGCTCGTGATCGGTTTTACAAAATTCGCACTGAATTAGGCATGATAGATGCATCAAACATTGCTTAGTTTTCAAAACTGGTTGTTTTAATCGATACAAACAAGTTTTAAATCGATTAAAAGCACTTATACAACATTTTTCTTTACTGTTTTAATCGATTAAATGTCGATTTAATCGATTAAATCAACTTATGTTTTAAACTTTCAAATTTCATCACTGTTTTAATCGATTAAAACTTTATTTCAATCGATTAAAACCATTAACAAGAACTTTTTAATCGATTTTGTCCTGTTTTTAATCGATTATTACTCTGGGAAGAAAAATTAAAGGCTTTAGTTAATGGTTGTTCTTGTAACATGCTACTAAAGCGTGGTTCCCTTATCTTTACACGTGTTAATTGTATTCATTACAAACGTGTTAATGAAGATAAGTTTGAATCAACTTTGATTGGTCTTTACATGAGTAAGGTATCGTATCCATATTTTTTACTGTTTTCAAAATCTAAAACCTGATACATACCATGCATAATGTTGTTCCTCTGTTCCCTATTTTTGATGAAGTCAAAAGGGGGAGAAATTATTGCTTTATGCTTTACTTCTGATCAATTTAGTTTACTTCTGATCAATTTAGGGGGAGAAATAATTCTTTAGGAGAACAACAATTTAGGGGGAGAAATGGATAAACTGATTAATTTTTTATTAACTAATCTATTTTATCAAGTGACTTCTTCTGCAGAGTTATTATTCAAAGTGGTGTTTGTCTTCATCAAATAGGGGGAGACTGAAAGTGATGAAGATCTTATTGAATTACGTTGGCAAAGATCTTGTTGATTTGATGAAGTCAAGAATGAAGTCAAAGGCAACTTTGTGGCAGTCAAAGGTCACTTGGATAAAAGAGTAGAAGGATTAGTGTGTCTGCAGCTCTGCTTAGGTATAATCATTTTTATCTTTTCTGCTGCATGAGGTTTCTTCATTTAAAAGATTTTGCAATTGCCTCTAAAAAATGTTTTAACGGTTAAAAACAAAGTATTTTGATAAAAGCTTTCTTAATCAACTATTTTAACTAATAGCATATAAGTTTTATCAACTAAAATGTTCTTCACACTTTTATAACAGGTTTTTAACTGATATAACTTCGAAATAACCGATTGTTTTCATTAACAGGATTTTTGAAAACCTTCTGTCAGTATTTTAACTGATATAGTTTCGAAATAACCGATTAAAATCACTTAAAATGTTCAGGGAAGTGTTCTGGTAGTATTTTAATCGATATAACTTTGAAACAATCGATTAAAACCACTTGGAGTACTGTTTGACCGATCAGAATGAGCATATGACCGATCAGAACTAGATATGATCGATCAAAATTGAGTTATGACCGATCAGAATTATTTTAATCGATTAAAACTGCGTTTCAATCGATTAAAACAACTTAAGAAAATTTGTGCTAAGTGTTTTAATAGATTAAAACAGATTTTTATCAGTTAAAATCAGTTGGAAAAGTTTATAAAAATGTTTTGCAGTATTTTAATCGATTGAAACACGAAACAATTGATTAAAACAGTTTGGAAGATTTTTTGTAAAGAGTTTTAATTGATATAAACGTTGTCGTATCAGTTAAAACAAATCTAGAAAATAATCAAGAACGTTTTAATGGATTAAAAGAAGATTTAACAGATTAAAACAAGACTTTTAACAGATTAAAAGATTATTTTAACAGATTAATTAAACTAGTAGTTTTGAAAATCTTCTATATAAACAGAGTTGCTTGAACTTTTTATACATCATCTGAAATACATCTTTTGACAATCAATCAAGCAATCAAAAGTGCTACTTTCAAGAAAGAATCACGCTAGTTTTTGTGAAGTTCATAAAAGTTCTTTCTTGAGGCAAAATTGCATTCTTTTAGAGAAGAAACACATACTGCATAACTGCATAAAACTGGTTTGAGCATTCTTTGTTTCTTCTTTTTGTTTCTTTACTTTCTTTTACTATATTGTGGGTGCCTGGAATTGTGGGCACTGGTTTTTGTAGCAGGAATTTGGTTGCAGGGTAGGTCAAGAACAGGAATTTGGTTCTTGGTGAAAGGTTAGGTGCAGGAACTGGAATTGTGGTTCTTGTGGTAGATTGAGTGTATGATTAAGGTTGTAATCTATAAAACATTCAATCTAGTGGAACCCAGCTGGAATTTGGCTGGAGACTGGACGTAGCCCTGGCATTAGGTGAACCAGTATAAACCTTGGTGATATCTTTCTAAACCTTTCTCTTCTTTAATTTTGTGACTGCATTTATTTTTTGATTGCTTACTGTGTATGATTCAAGAACTGGTCAGATTTCTTAATCTTTGAAATAGATAATCTGTTAATTGCGAAAATCTTTCAAAGATCAATTCACCCCCCCTCTTGATCTCAGCCTACTTTTCTAACAAGAAGAAGTTTAGGAAGGAGAAGAAGTTAAGGAAGAAGAAGTTTTGGATGGAGAAGAAGTTATGGATAAAGAACAAAGTATGGATGGGGAAGAAGTTTGGGATGGAGAAGAATCTACTAAGTATGGAGAAGAAATTAAGGAAGAAGAAGTTAAGGAAGGAGAAGAACTTTTGGATGGATAGGATAGGAGATTATAGTTAAGGATGGAGAAGAAACTTGGGATGTAGAATGAAGTTAAGGAAGCAGAAGAAGTTAAGGAGGATGGAGAAGTTAGGGAAGGAGAAAAGGATAAGAATGAAGAACAAGTTAGGGAAGGAGAAGAAGTTAAGGATGGAGAAATAGTTTGGGATGGGGAAGAAGTGAAGGAAGGAGAAGAAGTTAAGGAAGAAGAAGAAGAAGTTTTGGATGGAGAAGAAGTTAAGGGTAAAGAAGAAAGTATGGATGGGGAAGAAGTTTGGGATGGAGAAGAAGTTAAGGAGGGAGAAATGATCTTGGATGGAAAAGAAGTTAAGGAAGGAGAAGAAATTAGGGATGATGAGGAAGAAAGTAAGGATGGAGGAGAAGCAGTTATGGACGGAGAAGATGTTAAGGAAGGAGAAGAAACTAAGGAAGGAGAAGAAGTTTGGGATGGAGAAGAAGTTTGGGATGGAGAAGAAGTTTGGGATGGAAGAGAAGTTTGGAATGGAGGAGAAGAGTCGAAGTATGGAGAAGAAATTAAGGAAGAAGAAGTTTAGGAAGGAGAAGAAGTTATGGATAAAGAAGAAATTATGGATGGGGAAGAAGTGAGGGATGGAAAAGAATATACTAAGTATGGAGAAGAAATGAAGGAGGAAGAAGTTAAGGAAGGAGAAGAACTTTTGGATGGATAGGATAGGAGATTATAGTTAAGGATGGAGAAGAAACTTGGGATGTAGAATGAAGTTAAGGAAGCAGAAGAAGTTAAGGAGGATGGAGAAGAAGTTAGGGAAGGAGAAAAGGTTAAGAATGAAGAACAAGTTAGGGAAGGAGAAGAAGTTAAGGATGGAGAAATAGTTTGGGATGGGGAAGAAGTGAAGGAAGGAGAAGAAGTTAAGGAAGAAGAAGAAGAAGTTTTGGATGGAGATGAAGTTAAGGGTAAAGAAGAAAGTATGGATGGGGAAGAAGTTTGGGATGGAGAAGAAGTTAAGGAGGGAGAAATGAACTTGGATGGAAAAGAAGTTAAGGAAGGAGAAGAAATTAGGGATGATGAGGAAGAAAGTAAGGATGGAGAAGAAGCAGTTATGGACGGAGAAGATGTTAAGGAAGGAGAAGAAACTAAGGAAGGAGAATAGGTGTGGGATGGAGAAGAAGTTTGGGATGGAAGAGAAGTTTGGAAAGGAGGAGAAGAATCGAAGTATGGAGAAGAAATTAAGGAAGAAGAAGGTTAGGAAGGAGAAGAAGTTAGGGATAAAGAAGAAATTATGGATGGGGAAGAAGTTTGGGATGGAGAAGAATCTACTAAGTATGGAGAAGAAATGAAGGAAGAAGAAGTTAAGGAAGGAGAAGAACTTTTGGATGGATAGGATAGGAGATTATAGTTAAGGATGGAGAAGAAACTTGGGATGTAGAATGAAGTTAAGGAAGCAGAAGAAGTTAAGGAGGATGGAGAAGAAGTTAGGGAAGGAGAAAAGGTTAAGAATGAAGAACAAGTTAGTGAAGGAGAAGAAGTTAATGATGGAGAAATAGTTTGGGATGGGGAAGAAGTGAAGGAAGGAGAAGAGGTTAAGGAAGAAGAAGAAGAAGAAGTTTTGGATGGAGAAGATGTTAAGGGTAAAGAAGAAAGTATGGATGGGGAAGAAGTTTGGGAGGGAGAAAGAGTTAAGGAGGGAGAAATGATCATGGATGGAGAAGAAGTTAAGGAAGGAGAAGAAATTAGGGATGATGAGGAAGAAAGTAAGGATGGAGAAGAAGAAGTTATGGATATTAAGGAAGGAGAAGATGTTAAGGAAGGAGAAGAAACTAAGGAAGGAGAAGAAGTTTGGGATGGAGAAGAAGTTTGGGATGGAGGAGAAGTTTGGAATGGAGGAGAAGAATCGATGTATGGAGAAGAAATTAAGGAAGAAGAAGTTTAGGAAGGAGAAGAAGTTAAGGAAGAAGAAGTTTTAAATGGAGAAGAAGTTATGGATAAAGAAGAAATTATGGATGGGGAAGAAGTTTGGGATGGAGAAGAATCTACTAAGTATGGAGAAGAATTGAAGGAAGAAGAAGTTAAGGAAGGATAAGAACTTTTGGATGGATAGGATAGGAGATTATAGTTAAGGATGGAGAAGAAACTTGGGATGTAGAATGAAGTTAAGGAAGCAGAAGAAGTTAAGGAGGATGGAGAAGAAGTTAGGGAAGGAGAAAAGGTTAAGAATGAAGAACAAGTTAGTGAAGGAGAAGAAGTTAATGATGGAGAAATAGTTTGGGATGGGGAAGAAGTGAAGGAAGGAGAAGAGGTTAAGGAAGAAGAAGAAGAAGAAGTTTTGGATGGAGAAGATGTTAAGGGTAAAGAAGAAAGTATGGATGGGGAAGAAGTTTGGGAGGGAGAAAGAGTTAAGGAGGGAGAAATGATCATGGATGGAGAAGAAGTTAAGGAAGGAGAAGAAATTAGGGATGATGAGGAAGAAAGTAAGGATGGAGAAGAAGAAGTTATGGACAGAGAAGATATTAAGGAAGGAGAAGAAACTAAGGAAGGAGAAGAAGTTAGGGATGGAGAAGAAGTTTGGGAAGGAGGAGAAGTTTGGAATGGAGGAGAAGAATCGATGTATGGAGAAGAAATTAAGGAAGAAGAAGTTTAGGAAGGAGAAGAAGTTAAGGAAGAAGAAGTTTTAAATGGAGAAGAAGTTATGGATAAAGAAGAAATTATGGATGGGGAAGAAGTTTGGGATGGAGAAGAATCTACTAAGTATGGAGAAGAATTGAAGGAAGAAGAAGTTAAGGAAGGATAAGAACTTTTGGATGGATAGGATAGGAGATTATAGTTAAGGATGGAGAAGAAACTTGGGATGTAGAATGAAGTTAAGGAAGCAGAAGAAGTTAAGGAGGATGGAGAAGAAGTTAGGGAAGGAGAAAAGGTTAAGAATGAAGAACAAGTTAGTGAAGGAGAAGAAGTTAATGATGGAGAAATAGTTTGGGATGGGGAAGAAGTGAAGGAAGGAGAAGAGGTTAAGGAAGAAGAAGAAGAAGAAGTTTTGGATGGAGAAGATGTTAAGGGTAAAGAAGAAAGTATGGATGGGGAAGAAGTTTGGGATGGAGAAGAAGTTAAGGAGGGAGAAATGATCATGGATGGAGAAGAAGTTAAGGAAGGAGAAGAAATTAGGGATGATGAGGAAGAAAGTAAGGATGGAGAAGAAGAAGTTATGGACAGAGAAGATGTTAAGGAAGGAGAAGAAACTAAGAAAGGAGAAGAAGTTAGGGATGGAGAAGAAGTTTGGGATGGAGAAGAAGTTTGGGATGCAGGAGAAGTTTGGAATGGAGGAGAAGAATCGAAGTATGGAGAGAAATTAAGGAAGAAGTAGTTTAGGAAGGAGAAGAAGTTAAGGGAGAAGAAGTTTTGGATGGAGAAGAAGTTATGGATAAAGAAGAAAGTATGGATGGGGAAGAAGTTTGGGATGGAGAAGAATCTACTATGTATGGAGAAGAAATGAAGGAAGAAGAAGTTAAGGAAGGAGAAGAACTTTTGGATGGATAGGATAGGAGATTATAGTTAAGGATGGAGAAGAAACTTGGGATGTATAATGAAGTTAAGGAAGCAGAAGAAGTTAAGGAGGATGGAGAAGAAGTTAGGGAAGCAGAAAAGGTTAAGAGTGAAGAACAAGTTAGGGAAGGAGAAGAAGTTAAGGATGGAGAAATAGTTTGGGATGGGGAAGAAGTGAAGGAAGGAGAAGAAGTTAAGGAAGAAGAAGAAGAAGTTTTGGATGGAGATGAAGTTAAGGGTAAAGAAGAAAGTATGGATGGGGAAGAAGTTTGGGATGGAGAAGAAGTTAAGGAGGGAGTAATGATCATGGATGGAGAAGAAGAAGTTATGGACGGAGAAGATGTTAAGGAAGGAGAAGAAACTAAGGAAGGAGAAGAAGTTAGGGATGGAGAAGAAGTTTGGGATGGAGAAGATGTTTGGGATGGAGGAGAAGTTTGGAATGGAGGAGAAGAATCGAAGTATGGAGAAGAAATTACGGAAGAAGAAGTTTAGGAAGGAGAAGAAGTTAAGGAAGAAGAAGTTTTGGATGGAGAAGAAGTTATGGATAAAGAAGAAAGTATGGGTGGGGAAGAAGTTTGGGATGGAGAAGAAGTTAAGGAGGGAGAAATGATCATGGATGGAGAAGAAGTTAAGGAAGGAGAAGAGATTAGGGATGATGAGGAAGAAAGTAAGGATGGAGAAGAAGAAGTTATGGACAGAGAAGATGTTAAGGAAGGAGAAGAAACTAAGGAAGGAGAAGAAGTTAGGGATGGAGAAGAAGTTTGGGAAGGAGGAGAAGTTTGGAATGGAGGAGAAGAATCGAAGTATGGAGAAGAAATTAAGGAAGAAGAAGTTTAGGAAGGAGAAGAAGTTAAGGAAGAAGAAGTTTTGAATGGAGAAGAAGTTATGGATAAAGAAGAAATTATGGATGGGGAAGATGTTTGGGTTGGAGAAGAATCTACTAAGTATGGAGAAGAAATCAAGGAAGAAGAAGTTAAGGAAGGATAAGAACTTTTGGATGGATAGGATAGGAGATTATAGTTAAGGATGGAGAAGAAACTTGGGATGTAGAATGAAGTTAAGGAAGCAGAAGAAGTTAAGGAGGATGGAGAAGATTGTAGGGAAGTAGAAAAGGTTAAGAATGAAGAACAAGTTAGGGAAGGAGAAGAGGTTAAGGATGGAGAAATAGTTTGGGATGGGGAAGAAGTGAAGGAAGGAGAAGAGGTTAAGGAAGAAGAAGAAGAATAAGTTTTGGATGGAGAAGAAGTTAAGGGTAAAGAAGAAAGTATGGATGGGGAAGAAGTTTGGGATGGAGAAGAAGTTAAGGAGGGAGAAATGATCATGGATGGAGAAGAAGTTAAGGAAGGAGAAGAAATTAGGGATGATGAGGAAGAATGTAAGGATGGAGAAGAAGAAGTTATGGACAGAGAAGATGTTAAGGAAGGAGAAGAAACTAAGGAAGGAGAAGAAGTTAGGGATGAAGAAGAAGTTGGGGATGGAGAAGAAGTTTGGGATGGAGGAGAAGTTTGGAATGGAGGAGAAGAATCGAAGTATGGAGAGAAATTAAGGAAGAAGTAGTTTAGGAAGCAGAAGAAGTTAAGGAAGAAGAAGTTTTGGATGGAGAAGATGTTATAGATAAAGAAGAAAGTATGGATGGGGGAGAAGTTTGGGATGGAGAAGAATCTACTATGTATGGAGAAGAAATGAAGGAAGAAGAAGTTAAGGAAGGAGAAGAACTTTTGGATGGATAGGATAGGAGATTATAGTTAAGGATGGAGAAGAAACTTGGGATGTATAATGAAGTTAAGGAAGCAGAAGAAGTTAAGGAGGATGGAGAAGAAGTTAGGGAAGCAGAAAAGGTTAAGAGTGAAGAACAAGTTAGGGAAGGAGAAGAAGTTAAGGATGGAGAAATAGTTTGGGATGGGGAAGAAGTGAAGGAAGGAGAAGAAGTTAAGGAAGAAGAAGAAGAAGTTTTGGATGGAGATGAAGTTAAGGGTAAAGAAGAAAGTATGGATGGGGAAGAAGTTTGGGATGGAGAAGAAGTTAAGGAGGGAGTAATGATCATGGATGGAGAAGAAGAAGTTATGGACGGAGAAGATGTTAAGGAAGGAGAAGAAACTAAGGAAGGAGAAGAAGTTAGGGAAAGGGAAGAAAATAGGGATGGAGAAGAAGTTTGGGATGGAGGAGAAGTTTGGAATGGAGGAGAAGAATCGAAGTATGGAGAAGAAATTACTGAAGAAGAAGTTTAGGAAGGAGAAGAAGTTAAGGAAGAAGAAGTTTTGGATGGAGAAGAAGTTATGGATAAAGAAGAAAGTATGGGTGGGGAAGAAGTTTGGGATGGAGAAGAAGTTAAGGAGGGAGAAATGATCATGGATGGAGAAGAAGTTAAGGAAGGAGAAGAGATTAGGGATGATGAGGAAGAAAGTAAGGATGGAGAAGAAGAAGTTATGGACAGAGAAGATGTTAAGGAAGGAGAAGAAACTAAGGAAGGAGAAGAAGTTAGGGATGGAGAAGAAGTTTGGGAAGGAGGAGAAGTTTGGAATGGAGGAGAAGAATCGAAGTATGGAGAAGAAATTAAGGAAGAAGAAGTTTAGGAAGGAGAAGAAGTTAAGGAAGAAGAAGTTTTGAATGGAGAAGAAGTTATGGATAAAGAAGAAATTATGGATGGGGAAGATGTTTGGGATGGAGAAGAATCTACTAAGTATGGAGAAGAAATCAAGGAAGAAGAAGTTAAGGAAGGATAAGAACTTTTGGATGGATAGGATAGGAGATTATAGTTAAGGATGGAGAAGAAACTTGGGATGTAGAATGAAGTTAAGGAAGCAGAAGAAGTTAAGGAGGATGGAGAAGATTGTAGGGAAGTAGAAAAGGTTAAGAATGAAGAACAAGTTAGGGAAGGAGAAGAGGTTAAGGATGGAGAAATAGTTTGGGATGGGGAAGAAGTGAAGGAAGGAGAAGAGGTTAAGGAAGAAGAAGAAGAATAAGTTTTGGATGGAGAAGAAGTTAAGGGTAAAGAAGAAAGTATGGATGGGGAAGAAGTTTGGAATGGAGAAGAAGTTAAGGAGGCAGAAATGATCATGGATGGAGAAGAAGTTAAGGAAGGAGAAGAAATTAGGGATGATGAGGAAGAAAGTAAGGATGGAGAAGAAGAAGTTATGGACAGAGAAGACTTTAAGGAAGGAGAAGAAACTAAGGAAGGAGAAGAACTTAGGGATGGAGAAGAAGTTGGGGATGGAGAAGAAGTTTGGGATGGAGGAGAAGTTTGGAATGGAGGAGAAGAATCGAAGTATGGAGAAGAAATTAAGGAAGAAGAAGTTTAGGAAGGAGAAGAAGTTAAGGAAGAAGAAGTTTTGGATGGAGAAGAAGTTATGGATAAAGAAGAAAGTATGGGTGGGGAAGAAGTTTGGGATGGAGAAGAATCTACTAAATATGGAGAAGAAATGAAGGAAGAAGAAGTTAAGGAAGGAGAAGAACTTTTGGATGGATAGGATAGGAGATTATAGTTAAGGATGAAGAAGAAACTTGGGATGTAGAATGAAGTTAAGGAAGCAGAAAAAGATAAGGAGGATGGAGAAGAAGTTAGGGAAGGAGAAAAGGTTAAGAATGAAGAACAAGTTAGCGAAGGAGAAGAGGTTAAGGAAGAAATAGTTCGGTATGGGGAAGAAGTGAAGGAAGGAGAAGAGGTTAAGGAAGAAGAAGAAGAAGAAGTTTTGGATGGAGAAGAAGTTAAGGGTAAAGAAGAAAGTATGGATGGGGAAGAAGTTTGGGATGGAGAAGAAGTTAAGGAGGCAGAAATGATCATGGATGGAGAAGAAGTTAAAGAAGGAGAAGAAATTAGGGATGATGAAGAAGAAACTAAGGATGGAGAAGAAGAAGTTATGGACAGAGAAGACTTTAAGGAAGGAGAAGAAACTAAGGAAGGAGAAGAAGTTAGGGATGGAGAAGAAGTTTGGGATGGAGGAGAAGTTTGGAATGGAGGAGAAGAATCGAAGTATGGAGAAGAAATTAAGGAAGAAGAAGTTTAGGAAGGAGAAGCAGTTAAGGAAGAAGAAGTTTTGGATGGAGAAGAAGTTATGGATAAAGAAGAACGTATGGATTGGGAAGAAGTTTGGGATGGAGAAGAATCTACTAAGTATGGAGAAGAAATGAAGGAAGAAGAAGTTAAGGAAGGATAAGAACTTTTGGATGGATAGGATAGGAGATTATAGTTAAGGATGGAGAAGAAACTTGGGATGAAGAATGAAGTTAAGGAAGTAGAAGAAGTTAAGGAGGATGGAGAAGAAGTTAGGGAAGGAGAAAAGGTTAAAAATGAAGAACAAGTTAGGGAAGGAGAAGAAGTTAAGGATGGAGAAATAGTTTTTGATGGGGAAGAATTGAAGGAAGGAGAAGAGGTTAAGGAGGAAGAAGAAGAAGAAGAAGTTTTGGATGGAGAATAAGTTAAGGGTAAAGAAGAAAGTATGGATGGGGAAGAAATTTGGGATGGAGAAGAAGTTAAGGAGGGAGAAATGATCATGGATGGAGAAGAAATTAAGGAAGGAAAGGAAATTAGGGATGATGAGGAAGAAAGTAAGGATGGACAAGAAGAAGTTATGGACGGAGAAGATGTTAAGGAAGGAGAAGAAACTAAGGAAGGAGAAGAAGTTAGGTATGGAGAAAAAGTTTGGGATGGAGAAGAAGTTTGGGATGGAGGAGAAGAATCGAAGTATGGAAAAGAAATTAAGGAAGAAGAAGTTTAGGAAGGAGAAGAAGTTAAGGAAGAAGAAGTTTTGGATGGAGAAGAAGTTATGGATAACGAAGAAAGTATGGATGGGGAAGAAGTTTGGGATGGAGAAGAATCTACTAAGTATGGAGAAGAAATGAAGGAAGAAGAAGTTAAGGAAGGAGAAGAACTTTTGAATGGATAGGATAGGAGATTATAGTTAATGATGGAGAAGAAACTTGGTGTCGCCGCCTCCCAAAAAGGGGGGGAACGGTCGGAGCGACGCGATGGTTATTTCGACCCTCTTGATTTTCGCGTTTTTTATTGGTGGTTACAACGCCTTTAGGTTGTCTGATAACCGGGCTAACCTAGGGGCGAGGTTTTTGAAAAGTGTCCTTGGGTTGTCCGATAACCGGGCTAACCCAAGGACTTATTTATTTTGGGTTCTATGGAGTCGCCACCGATGTTTTTAACGGAAACATCGGAAAAGGGGTTTTAAAAGGCGTTGGTTTTCGAAAACCAACTTTGGTCATTAGAACCAGAGTTGGATAAGGGAGTTAGTTACGTGTAAAGGGAGTATTAGTCCCTTTACGACGCCCTTTCGGGTTCCCTATGATAGGCCGGCTATTTGTGAATAATTAAACTTGGGAAATTGCGCTTTTACCCTTTTTATTATGCGGAATTTAAATATATGACTACATTGCCCTAGCTTCTATTGCGTAATTTAAATAGCAAGAAAAAATAGAGAGTGAGGATATGCACCTCCAAAGCAAGCTTTATATATTAAAAAGAGAGGGTGCGTTTTGGCAACCCTTCACTTTACAACTCTCGGAAACTCTGAAATGCCTCTGAGGGTTTCTAAAGAAGATTTAGAACACTCGTGTATGCCTAGAGACACTCAGAAACTCCGGAAATGCCTCGGAGGGATTCTTAGAGAGAGAAATTCTAGAGAGAAGGGAGAGCTCTTGCTTCTGGGTGTGTGGAAATGAGGGGGGGAGAGCCCCTATTTATAGGTTTTCGCGCTGTCAGGTGGCGAGACCGCCGGTCTCGTCTGACAGGGTCGAGACCGCCGTCTCATCCAACCAGACCGCCGTCTCGACCTGTCGAAATGGCGAGACCACCGTCTGGGTGAACGAGACCGCCGTCTCGTCTTTCGTAGGTGGCGAGACCACCGTCTCGTTGAGTGAGACGGCGGTCTCGCCTCCTACGTGAGGCGAGACGGCGGTCTGGGTTGTCCAGAAGGCGGTCTCGTCCCTTCGAAGCGAGAAAACTTATTTTTTGGTACAGAAACTCCCTCCTATCCTAGTATGGCGCCTAATAGTCTCTCCTAATGGCTTGTTAGGCTTGTCCATCTTCAAATAGGAGGTCTTCTGGTCTTTATTCTGAGGCCGGGCAAGATTTGGGGTCTACACTTGGGATGTAGAATGAAGTTAAGGAAGCAGAAGAAGTTAAGGAGGATGGAGAAGAAGTTAGGGAAGCAGAAAAGGTTAAAAATGAAGAACAAGTTAGGGAAGGAGAAGAAGTTAAGGATGGAGAAATAGTTTGTGATGGGGAAGAAGTGAAGGAAGGAGAAGAGGTTAAGGAAGAAGAAGAAGAAGAAGAAGAAGTTTTGGATGGAGAAGAAGTTAAGGGTAAAGAAGAAAGTATGGATGGGGAAGAAATTTGGGATGGAGAAGAAGTTAAGGAGGGAGAAATGATCATGGATGGAGAAGAAGTTAAGGAAGGAGAAGAAATTAGGGATGATGAGGAAGAAAGTAAGGATGGACAAGAAGAAGTTATGTACGGAGAAGATGTTAAGGAAGGAGAAGAAACTAAGGAAGGAGAAGAAGTTAGGTATGGATAAGAAGTTTGGGATGTAGAAGAAGTTTGGGATGGAGGAGAAGAATCGATGTATGGAGAGGAAATTAAGGAAGAAGAAGTTTAGGAAGGAGAAGAAGTTGAGGAAGAAGAAGTTTTGGATGGAGAAGATGTTATGGATAAAGAAGAAAGTATGGATGGGGAAGAAGTTTGGGATGGAGAAGAATCTACTAAGTATGGAGAAGAAATGAAGGAAGAAGAAGTTAAGGAAGGAGAAGAACTTTTGAATGGATAGGATAGGAGATTATAGTTAAGGATGGAGAAGAAACTTGGGATGTAGAATGAAGTTAAGGAAGGCGAAGAAGTTACGGAGGATGGAGAAGAAGTTAGGGAAGGAGAAAAGGTTAAGAATGAAGAACAAGTTAAGGATGGAGAAATAGTTTGTGATGGGGAAGAAGTGAAGGAAGGAGAAGAGGTTAAGGAAGAAGAAGAAGAAGAAGAAGAAGAAGAAGAAGTTTTGGATGGAGAAGAAGTTAAGGGTAAAGAAGAAAGTATGGATGGGGAAGAAGTTTGGGATGGAAAGGAAGTTAAGGAGGGAGAAATGATCATGGATGGAGAAGAAGTTAAGGAAGGAGAAGAAATTAGGGATGATGAGGAAGAAAGTAAGGATGGAGAAGAAGAAGTTATGGACGGAGAAGATGTTAAGGAAGGAGAAGAAACTAAGGAAGGAGAAGAAGTTAGGGATGGAGAAGAAGTTTGGGATGGAGAAGAAGTTTGGGATGGAGGAGAAGTTTGGAATGGAGGAGAAGAATCGAAGTATGGAGAAGAAATTAAGGAAGAAGAAGTTTAGGAAGGAGAAGAAGTTAAGGAAGAAGAAGTTTTGGATGGAGAAGAAGTTATGGATAAAGAAGAAAGTATGGGTGGGGAAGAAGTTTGGGATGGAGAAGAATCTACTAAATATGGAGAAGAAATGAAGGAAGAAGAAGTTAAGGAAGGAGAAGAACTTTTGGATGGATAGGATAGGAGATTATAGTTAAGGATGAAGAAGAAACTTGGGATGTAGAATGAAGTTAAGGAAGCAGAAAAAGATAAGGAGGATGGAGAAGAAGTTAGGGAAGGAGAAAAGGTTAAGAATGAAGAACAAGTTAGGGAAGGAGAAGAGGTTAAGGATGGAGAAATAGTTTGGGATGGGGAAGAAGTGAAGGAAGGAGAAGAGGTTAAGGAAGAAGAAGAAGAAGTTTTGGATGGAGAAGAAGTTAAGGGTAAAGAAGAAAGTATGGATGGGGAAGAAGTTTGGGATGGAGAAGAAGTTAAGGAGGGAGAAATGATTATGGATGGAGAAGAAGTTAAGGAAGGAGAAGAAATTAGGGATGATGAGGAAGAAAGTAAGGAGGGAGAAGAAGAAGTTATGGACGGAGAAGATGTTAAGGAAGGAGAAGAAACTAAGGAAGGAGAAGAAGTTAGGGATGGAGAAGAAGTTTGGGATGGAGAAGAAGTTTGGGATGGAGGAGAAGAATCGAAGTATGGAGAAGAAATTAAGGAAGAAGAAGTTTAGGAAGGAGAAGAAGTTAAGGAAGAAGAAGTTTTGGATGGAGAAGAAGTTATGGATAAAGAAGAAAGTATGGATGGGGAAGAAGTTTGGGATGGAGAAGAATCTACTAAGTATGGAGAAGAAATGAAGGAAGAAGAAGTTAAGGAAGGAGAAGAACTTTTGAATGGATAGGATAGGAGATTATAGTTAAGGATGGAGAAGAAACTTGGGATGTAGAATGAAGTTAAGGAAGCAGAAGAAGTTAAGGAGGATGGAGAAGAAGTTAGGGAAGGAGAAAAGGTTAAAAATGAAGAACAAGTTAGGGAAGGAGAAGAAGTTAAAGATGGAGAAATAGTTTGGGATGGGGAAGAAGTGTAGGAAGGAGCAGAGGTTAAGGAAGAAGAAGAAGAAGTTTTGGATGGAGAAGAAGTTAAGGAGGGAGAAATGATAATGGATGGAGAAGAAGTTAAGGAAGGAGAAGAAATTAGGGATGATGAGGAAGCACTACTACAAAATATACTTTCTACGTCGTTATTTAACGTTGGTTATAGCTGAGACGACGTAGAAAGTACTTTCCACGTCGGTTCTCAGATGAACCGACGTTGAAATTGAATATTAAACACATTCTACGTCGCTTCTTAGTCAACCGACGTAGAAAGTACTTTCTACGTCGGTTCCCATATGAACCGACGTTGAAAGTCTTTTTTTATTTTATTTTTTACTTACTGATAGCGGAAATAAGGGAACCGCTATCTAATATACACTTTAGATAGCGGTTCCCTTATAACCGCTATCTAATATGCACTTTAGATAGCGGTTCCCTTATAACCGCTATCTAATATACACTCTAGATAGCGGTTATAAGGGAACCGCTATTATATCCTCTCAATTATGATCGATCATTTCAAGTTATGATCGATCAGAATCTAATTTCGCTCGAGCGAGGGTAGTGTCGCTCAAGCGAAATACAACCCGAGAATGCTAATTTTGTGCAGGGGGCGTTTCGCTCGAGCGAGAAGGGTGTCGCTCAAGCGAGATACATTTTAGATAGTGGTTAACCTGGAACCGCTATTATATTGTTTCAATTATGATCGATCAAAATGTAGTTATGACCGATCAGAACTATTTTAATCGATTAAATCTCGTTTCAATCGATTAAAACAATTTCTGCACAGCGTTTTAATCGATTAAAACTTATTTTTATCAGTTAAAATTACTTGAAAAGTGTCACGAGAAAGTTTTGCAGTATTTCAATCGATTGAATCGCGAAACAATCGATTAAATCAACTTAGAAGATTTTTTGTAAAGTGTTTTAATTGATATAAATGTTGTCGTATCAGTTAAAACAAATCTGTTAAAGAATCAAGAACGTATTAATGGATTAAAAGAAGTTTTAACAGATTAAAACTGCACTTTTAACAGATTAAAAGAATCTTTTAACAGATTAATTAAACCAGCAGTTTAGAGTTCGACGTCACTAGGGTATGCGTTAGGGTTCGAGCTCCGCTGGGTTTGCGTTGGGTTTCACAGCATGACAATTGGGTTTGGCTTGACATTGGGGTTCGATGTCGCCAGAGTTGGGGTTCGGCCTCGAGTTCGTCGAGGTTGAGGCTGGGGTTGAGATTCGAAGTTACTATTTGACATTTTTCTAGTAGTGAAATTTACACTGGATATATATTTATTTGTATATAAATATAATTTATTTGTAAGTTATTATCAAAAAATTCAAGTAGTTTAGTGGTTGGAGTATCGACCTCCAACTCTAAACTACTCGGGTTCGAATCCCGCCAATGACAATTCTCTTAAAAATTAAAAAACTTCTAAAAAATATAATATAAAGAGATGGAGGACCTAATAAAAATATAATATGAAGAGAGGGGAGACTTCTAGATAAATAAAAGGGGGGTAAAGGGGTTGTAAATAAATAAAAAATATTAATTTAAAAAATCATACTTTCAACGTCGGTTATTAGATAGCGGTTATAAGGGAACCGCTATCTAAAGTGTATATTAGATAGCGGTTCCTTTATAACCGCTATCTAAAGTAAAAACTTTAACGTCGGTTTTTTAGAACCGACGTTGAAAGTTACGACTTTCAACGTCGCCTGATACAACGTCGGTTATTAAACCGACGTTGAAAGCCTTCCAGAACCGACGTTGAAAGCTTTATTTGTAGTAGTGAAGAAAGTAAGGATGGAGAAGAAGAAGTTATGGACGGAGAAGATGTTAAGGAAGGAGAAGAAACTAAGGAAGGAGAAGAAGTTTGGGATGGAGAAGAAGTTTGGGATGGAGGAGAAGAATCGAAGTATGGAGAAGAAATTAAGGAAGAAGAAGTTTAGGAAGGAGAAGAAGTTAAGGAAGAAGAAGTTTTGGATGGAGAAGAAGTTATGGATAAAGAAGAAAGTATGGATGGGGAAGAAGTTTTGGATGGAGAAGAATCTACTAAGTATGGAGAAGAAATGAAGGAAAAAGAAGTTAAGGAAGGAGAAGAACTTTTGGATGAATAGGATAGGAGATTATAGTTAAGGATGGAGAAGAAACTTGGGATGTATAATGAAGTTAAGGAAGCATAAGAAGTTAAGGAGGATGGAGAAGAAGTTAGGGAAGGAGAAAAGGTTAAGAATGAAGAACAAGTTAGGGAAGGAGAAGAAGTTAAGGATGGAGAAATAGTTTGGGATGGGGAAGAAGTGAAGGAAGGAGAAGAGGTTAAGGAAGAAGAAGAAGAAGAAGTTTTGGATGGAGAAGAAGTTAAGGGTAAAGAAGAAAGTATGGATGGGGAAGAAGTTTGGGATGGAGAAGAAGTTAAGGAGGGAGAAATGATCATGGATGGAGAAGAAGTTAAGGAAGGAGAAGAAATTAGGGATGATGAGGAAGAAAGTAAGGATGGAGAAGAAGAAGTTATGGACGGAGAAGATGTTAAGGAAGGAGAAGAAACTAAGGAAGGAGAAGTTAGGTATGGAGAAGAAGTTTGGGATGGAGGAGAAGTTTGGAATGGAGGAGAAGAATCAAAGTATGGAGAAGAAATTAAGGAAGAAGTGAAAGTGATGAAGATATTATTGAATTACGTTGGCAAAGATCTTGTTGATTTGATGAAGTCAAGAATGAAGTCAAAGGAAACTTTGTGGCAGTCAAAGGTCACTTGGATAAAAGAGTAGAAGGATTAGTGTGTCTGCAGCTCTGCTTAGGTATAATCATTTTTATCTTTTCTGCTGCATGAGGTTTCTTCATTTAAAAGATTTGGCAATTTCCTCTAAAAAATGTTTTAACGGTTAAAAACCAAGTATTTTGATAAAAGCTTTCTTAATCAACTATTTTAACTAATAGCATATAAGCTTTATCAACTAAAATGTTCTTCACACTTTTATAACAGGTTTTTAACTGATATAACCTCGAAATAATCGATTGTTTTCATTAACAGGATTTTTGAAAACCTTCTGTTAGTATTTTTACTCGATACAGCTTTTGAAATAACCGATTAAAATCATAAAATGTTCGTGGAAGCGTTCGTTAGGTATTTTAATCGATATAACTTCGAAACAATCGATTAAAACCACTTAAATGTTCGTGGAAAATTTGAAGTATTTTAATCGATATAACTTCTAAAACAATCGATTAAAACC